CTAGGTTTGCCAAACAGAGCGAACATGGATGAGAGAGAGAGAGAGGGTGCAAGATCCTTTTGCAAATTAGTGGTTTTGTCAACTTGTGGGGCCCACATGATTGGGAGAAATACTGCCTGACTCACTCGTGAATACACAACCCATGCCCAGCTCGGGCGCGGGTTGTTACCTTTTCTGTTTTTATTTTTCATTTTCTTTAATTCAGTATATTTTGTTTTTATTTTTTTCATTTTTCTCTTTGCTAATCACACCTACAAAAACTCCTCAAAAATCACAAAAACCCCACTATTATAGATGCTCTTAGACCTACCATCCTAACCGATCATATTTCAAAAGGCTCACAAATGCTAGGCTGTTTCGTGCACCATAACTTCAACATTCGAAATAATGTGTTGTAATTCAATTTCATAATTGTCATGATTATTTTACTTTCAAAATGATGAATATAAAGTGCATACCATACCGTATATATAAAAGGTTAATACCGGTGATGAATAAATAAATAAATAAATATCCAGTGCACGCACGGAGGTGGGCATTGATATGATATGATACAAGTTTAATTAGTGGTTGGTGGGTGGAGCTTAGCTAAAATTTAGGTTAGATATAGTGTGTTTTGTTGAAATTTGAGATTGCCTAACAAAAGATATGTAATGTCTGTTTGTCTTCCTAAGAACCATTCATGTGCTGCGGTCACAATAATAACACTACATTTGTGGGGAACCGTTTCTGCATAATAATTTCCAACCCGAATTTTAAACATGTTTTGTCTCCCTACAAATTAAAGTACGCCTTCAGTACATGACTTATCGGTTACTTACTATTCAGTGTTCACTCCCACTGCCCTTCATATGCATTCATTTAATGTGCCCTCGCCCTTAACTATACCTAACATTGCGGAGTTGTCGACGATTATAGATATATATATATATACTCATGATCAAATGAGTGTACCCATCACCATGAGTCTGTGTTGACAAATCTGGTCCATTAAAAGCTAGAGATCAATGGTTAGATATGATCCATTATCAACTGTCTATATATATATATATATATATATATATATATATATATAATGACGAAATCTCTTATCAGACCATCTCACAGATATTCATTCGTGAGACGGGTTAGATTTTTTCTTTAAGTATTACATTTTTTTTCTCATAAGCAACTTTTCAATGCTTAATATTATATTTTAATTTGAATGTATTACATTTTTCATAAAAAGTATCACATTTTTTGTTATAAGTATTACACTTTCTATCATGAGTAACAATCAATCAATTTATTCTTGATTACTGTTGCAGTTTTTTCTTATTAGTAATTGTTCAACCCCTAAATATTATATTTTGATTTTAAAATATCATATTTTTTCTTCAAAAATATTACGCTCTCATGTCAAATTATTCCGTGGTCCAAGATACTTAATGTTCACAATTTACAAAATTGACTCTATTACATTGTAATATCTGTTCATCTATACTTTTTAACTTGTTGCCGTCACTAAGTCTCAATCTCATGACCTCCCATATGTGAGAGTCACTACATGTCATCTGAACACAAAATGTTTGGCTTCCTACTATTAATTTATTTATGTATTTATTCATTTATTGTTCAGATAATCTGATTTCAGAATTTATTGCCATTTATGATATGGGGCTTGTGGAAAATGTCATCTCGTAAAGCCAGTTGGGCTTATATATGATGGGTTGGATTGCAATGTCAAACAATTAAGCCCACGAAACCCAAAACTTTTCCCTTTTTATTTTAGGTGTGTCGTGCAATCGTTATACCGTGCACCACGGCGCACATAGCAATGTGCGCCCTACGCCTCTCAAAATGACGTCTTTTTGTTAAGTTGTGTGGGAAATTGACGCGACAAAGTGTATGCGTATTCTGTTATATAATTATGTACATTATGTTATATAGTTATGTACATTTTTAATACAATTATGTACATCTGGAACAGGGAATTTATGTGTATTATGTTAAGAATTTATGTGTATTATGTATTATGTTAAATTATGTGTATTATCTTTTCAAAAAAGACTGTGTATTTTGTTATAAAATTATGTACATTCTGTAATACAATTATGTACATTCTGTTATACAATTATGTACATTTTATTATACAATTATGTACATTTTCGAAACATGAGATTTTTTTTAAGAAGTTAACAGCCGACACACGAAATGTAACACCCCCGATTTTTACCATAATTTAAAACTTAATGGCAAGAGAAAAGCAATCTAATAAACCATTAACCAAAAGCGGAAGCAAGTCTATACGGGGGCATTATGCCACATCTTAAATACTAAAAGATGCACATGCGGGAAAAACTAAACCATTCATCAAAATATAAAGAGTCAAGGCACACAGGCCACACAAACAAACGTATAGACTAAGACAAAACTATCTAACGCTTCAAGTCTAGCGCTATCGGGTCTCTACTCAAAACCTGTAGAACAAGGAAAACATAACATGTGGATATCACCCGGTCAGCGAACATTGTTGGTAACCCATCAATACGCGTTAAATAACATATATAGGTAAGTATAAGTCAAAACCATTTTCGAAACGGAATACAGTATATATCATTTCAAAAGTCATAGAGAGAAGTCAACTTCAAAGGCTCACTCACACTCTCAAAAGGTAAAGGAAGTCAACATCCTTACGACAACAACAAGACAAGGATCATGAAAGACAATACAACTCGAGATGCATTCTACTGATCACAAAGTAGAGTACATCAAGACATGCTCATTAGTAAAGAATACACATTCACACATTGGCAACTACATGCCACAGTGACAACTACATGTCACAAGTTTCACAGTTCCAACCTTATGCCCTGTTCCAACCTTATGGCTACCCCCGGCCTTATTTCAGTTCCAACTGTTACCTCCGAGTGTCACCCTGTACTTCTGAGTCCAACCTTATACCGCCAGGGACCGTCGTCCCTCCTCCAACATACCACCTACATTTCAGTACACGAGGGTACTATTCATTTCATTCACACAACCACCTACATGTGAGCAAAGCTCAAGTAACAACCACCCACATTCAATCATAGTCACACAAGTCATCATCATTACCAAGAAGACTAAGGTTCCACAATAACCTTAATCAAGTATCAATCAAAGGGTACAACGATTACGTACGTTCACGTCATAGGAATCAATCAATGGATCACAACAGAGATATGAAACCATACTCAACAACGAAGGATCACAATCCGACACCAAACGATAGTCAACACAAGTTGTCAATCTCAATAGGAAAGAACAAACTGCACACACTAGCATTTCAACATCAACACTCACAATAGGGTGCAAGCATATGTGATATATTTAAATAGGGCCAGTTCTGGCCGTCTTCTCTATTGGAGAAGGCGGCTGTCCGGTTGGAAGACGACCGGACGGTCGGATTTTGTCGCCTGTGACCGGATTTTTTCACCGGTGGCCGGAATCTGTTACCAGAATTGAAATGACCTGTAATAACAGGTCATTTATCAGTTTTTGGGTTTCATTAATCCAATTTGACATGTTTGAGGGTTTAATTGTACTTTTGTAAAGTTTAGGGGGCTAATTGATCTTTGAGGTAAAGTTTAGGTGTCTATTTGACCATTCTCTCTAAAAAAATGATATTTTTAGTCGTCACTCAGTCAAGGTAGAAATGTGGATTTAGTCCTTCAAATATTTGAAGTGTAAATAGTCTTTCAAATCACTTAATAAAATGACTGATTTAATCTTTGAAGATCAAAATTATCACTTTGATAATAATTTTTTTTTTAAAAAAAATTGTATTGCGAATAAGTAATTGGGGGACTAAGTGTGCAATGCTCACATTTAAAAGGATAAAAGTGTCATTTTATTTTAATCATAACCTTTTGAGTTATCTCAATAAGACTAAAGAAAAACATTTAATTAGATATAATAAATTAAATTTATATTTTTTTGAAAATAGCAATACAACATTCCTTTCGTTCCTTCCTAATTTCACCACCTTACGTGGCAGTTTTTTATTGGTTTTTTTATATGTGATTTTTGTTTTTGAGTTTTATATGTGATTAATAAATAGATTTTTTTTTTATAAAAAATATTGATGGAGTGAGACAAATCACGACACAACTCACCGATAAAAAAATTGTTGCGCCCATTACACTCGCTTTTTCTAATGCAATCATAATTGTATAGACCATGGTCCATACAATTGTGTGAACTATATTATTAAATAATGTATCTTCAGTACATAAATAATATATTTTTAATATATTAAAAATATACATTATATTTTTAAAAAGTACATTATTTGAATACTGAAAGTATATTATTTTGTATAATGTATATTTAATACAAGAATAATGTAATTTTAGTATATTAAAATGTATTTTTTGTTATAATCCACACAACACTGTAGGCCATGGCCTATACAATAATTTGACTTTCTGATACCGTTTATTTTTTTATTTTTTTTTTGTGTGTAATTTACATGTTATTACGCTAAAACAATATTTACCTAGTGCACACTTTCAAGTAATAACATTATCCTTTTTTTAAACAACATTATTCTTTTCGAAATTAAGAAATGGTTCAACTGACTCCGAAGCTATGTTTCAAGCATTGAAGAATGAGACGGGGGCCAACCCAGAAGCGGATACGTTAATCTCTGACGGCATTTCTCTTACGGCTCTTTTTTAGGAATTTGATCTTAACCACGTGTTTCGTGAAAGAAATCAGTGTGCTGACTTCTTGATGAATATGGGGCAAGACTCTCTTTGGGATACCTCGATTCTACCTCGTCCTCCTGATGGTGTGATTAGCCTCCTTGAGCACGACTTCATAAACGTTGTCACTAGAAGGATTTATTAATTTTCGAAGGTCCCTCATGTGCACCCAAAAAAAAAAAAAAAAAAAAAAAAAAAAACTAGTAATAAATGACTATATATCTACACATCATTGTGTAACATAATGTTTTATCTGATCTCAACAGATATTAATTACATCGAACTAGCAGAACATACATCATCAAAACTACTTCCCTCTTCAAATTAAAATATACTCCGTATAATTAAACAAATATCATTGAGGGGGTCTCCACTCTTCAGTTATCTCATCATCAGCCTCCGCACCCGCACGAGCGAGAGTCAGAGAGCGGTTAAGGTGGGAGCTTTCCGGCGATTCCGCGGAGGGGCTAACGGCGGCGGGCGTGGTGGATGAATAGTACTCACGGGGAGAGTTTTCTATATCTTCATCAGCTTCCATATTCTTATTCTTTTTATTCCTATTCTTCTTCTTCACTTCGCTATGCCAATACTTTATGATTTGCATCACATTCTCCTCCAATAATGCTCTTTTGTAATGTGACCCCATCTGCATATATGCATCAATTCAATCTCTTTTTCTTTCAACCATAAACTATATGTGTGTGTATAATTAAATATATAGAAATGGTTCACATGCGGTTGGTCTTCTCATGTGCGATAGAGCGGTTGCTTAGGTGCGTGGTTTTCCTTCTGGTGTGTGATTTTCACTCTTAAAGTACGTGGTTTGTGTGCTTAAGTGTGTCAGTATTGAAACTTAACGTGCGTCAACTAAAGCTTTAGGTGCGTGGTTTTCTTTCTCAAGGTGCGTTGTTTTCCGGTACGTGATTTGTATGCTTAAGGTACGTCAGTTGTTGAAGCTTAAGGTGCGCCATTTTAAACTTTAGGTGAGTGGTTTGTGTTCTTAAGGTGCATGGTTTGTGTACTTAAGGTGCACTATTTTAAAATTTTAGGTGCCTGATTTGTATGCTTAAAGTGCGCTATTTTAATGCTGCATGCCGCTCAATCAGTTTAGGTTGTCTATAACTGACGAACTCAAATCAAGAATGTCAATGTATATATAATTTTCACTGGGGATTGAACTTGCAACATAACATTGTTATTACCAAGTCTTGTGTATGTATATCCTTGTAAGTTAATTGGAACTCTATGATACATGCATTATGTATAATGGGTATATTACTTTGGACAATATTAATACGCATATATAATTATTTACTTTTAGTTTTTAATATATATAGAGTACTATTAGACTACAATTTTTATTTTTTATTTTTTTATTTTGGGGTGAGAACTACAAATTTATTAGCAGAATAGAAACATGAAATATGCATGAGAAGTGAGAAATGCAAACCTGAGTCACGAGAGCATATAGAGGTAGAGTAATGTAACTACATAGGATTTGAACCATCACCCTGCACATACAACATAATAATATCAGACATATATAGTTTCATACTCCAATTATATAGTATAGTGTTGTAGACAAAAATTAATTAAATATTGGGGGGAGCAAATTAAATACTTACGCTAGTACAACCCTAATGACAATTTTCTCCACATTCTCATGGTAACAAGATCTTATCCCAAATTGCAACTGAAAAACAATCCAAATCAGATCAATATACGTTATTAAAGTAACTTTATGAGAATTTTCCCCTTAGCCCAACTTCCCCCTGGCAATATAACTAATTGTTATATCATGGACCAGAGTCCATCATGCACATTGTGAACCCTGATCTTGATTATATATATGTAGATAATATATTATGTACAATTTCACATATTATGAACTTAAAACAATGTTCATGTACATAATATGTTACCTGCAGGTACCATAGTTCACAATGCGCATGATAGATCTTAGTCCACGATATATAATATAATGGCCACAAACACAATACGAAAAAAGGATATTGTAAAATAAAGAGAAGACATTTTACCGTGACCCAAATGAAGAACGCTACCTCAAATGCATTCTTTAATAAGATGGTAAAAAAAAATAACAATATATAGTTAGTGTTTGAACACAATATAAAAAGCATATGAAAACACAATATGAAAGGAAGGAAGTTAATATTGAATTACCATAAAGAGAGTGAAATGGAGAAGGGTCAAGATGAATGGAGGGTGATTAAACCAGAAGAGATTGTCATTGGGTTGTACCAAGGGGGATCCTTTGATTACTGTACTTTGGTTTTTTACCCCAAGTGCCATTTTTGCAACTATCACTTCTAGCTTGGTCCCAACAACCAAAACTATCTAACCAAGTAAAAAAACAAAACACATCAACTCATCATCACAACATTAATACTAGTAAATTAAGTAAAATGCTCCCGAATCACACAGCTCAACTGATAAGCTAATCAAAATAAGTTCATCATAAGTTTTACTTTTCTAATAGTCACAAGACACTAGTGTATAAGCATTTGGTGGCCTATAGGCTAGTTAAGGCATATCTTACGATTTACTTCCTCCACCTGTCTCTGAGCAGGAGCAGTTAGTGGCCCTTAAATTCGGGGTTGAAATTTATTAATACGGAGTACTTAATAAATCATTAACTGATCAACTAATCCAAAATAAGTTCATAACCTTTGCTTTATTACCCTCGGCCCAAAGCACTACTGTATAAACATTAGGTGGTTTGTAGGCCAGTTTATTAGGCACATCTTAAGATTTACCTCATCGTCCACCCGTCTCCCAGATAAGAGCAGTGAATTGAAGGACTCTTAAATTTAAGGTTCAAACTCATTAATACTAATAAATTAAACTAAGTAAAATAAACAACAAATCCAATTATACAGTCATTTATATTCATTTAAGTACTTACTATCTTGCATTAAAAAAAAAAAAAGTACTTACTATCAATGGTAGAAATGACACCCAAAGATAGACGTTCCAACCTGTTTCATTGCAAAAGGGAAAAAAAAATGAAAAATAAGTTTGAATCCGTAACCCTAATATATAATTATAACAATCTCAACAAGTTGATAAGTTTATTTAACATTTTTTTAACTATTAGGATACTCTTCTCCCAACTATTAGGATACTCTAAGGGGGCGTTTGGTTCAGGTCATCTTAGATTACCTAGGTAATCTGAGTCTGGTAATGTTATATTACCTTGTTTGGTTCAAGTTATAAGATTACCTGGTAATGTTATATTACCTGAAAGCTGATGTGGCGGTAATGTTTCAAGGTAATGTGATTACCCCCAATTTTTTAGGTAATCTTAGATTATCTTGAATTATTCCAACTTTGCCCTTGTTAACTAATCCTTATATAATAATAATAATAATAATAATAATAATAATAATAATAATAATAATAATAATAATAATAATAATAATAATAATAATAATAATAATAATAATAATAATGAAATTAATATATATATATATATATATATATATATATATATATATATATATATACAATATATATATATATATATATATATATATTATTGAGGACATTATTGTAAATTGATCCATATAACTTTGAACCAAACAAGGTAATATTATATTACACTATCCAAACCAAACACACAAGGTAATCTTACATTCCCAACATCTCACATTACCTTCCGGGAGGTAATCCTATTACCTGGGGTAATCCAAGATTCCGTGAACCAAACGCCCCCTAACTATAATTTATATTTTCAAAAATGAATCTAAATATATAACGAATTGAAGGTTTTTTCGAGTAAATAATTTAATGTACGTACCATGGACATCGACCAACAAAAAGATTACAACCACTAACCACATTAACGGGCTGTCCAAATAAAAAAAAAAAAAATTATTAGGCTGAGAAAGTATGTATAAATAGATATTACAATGTAGCAGAGTCAGTAGTACTAAAAACAAAACAAAAAATAAAAAATTAACAAGCTAGTTGTTAGTGTGATAATAAATTATGGTGACGAAAATTAAAATCAACAAATTAAAAATTAAGAAAATAATGCTTCCCGTAAAGTGCTACGAACAATATGACAATTGATATGTATGATTGAGTAAAAGTACAATTCACGTGCATACAGAATATAGAGTAAATTGGGGCCTTCGGCCCTTCCTTCTACCAAAAAAAAAAGAATATAGAGTAAAATATAATACTTTTATTATCGAAATTATAGAATTTTACTTCAAATTTAAAAGAAAAAAAAAAGTCACATTTCCATTTCCACACTTGGTGACTTTATTTGTGTTGACAAGTTCATACCATAGAGACGTCAGTCGAGGGCATCAAGGCTGGCAGTGAGTCAACTGTAGGTGGAGGACATATATATATTGGGAGAAATTTTCAAATAATTTGAAATATGTTTTTTTTTTTAAAGCATGAAGTTACGAGTTGTCACATCCATTATCTTTTAAAATTAGGAAAAATGACACTTTTTCCCCCTGAGTTATATACTTATAGCACTTTTTCCTCCTCAATTATTTAGGTAAGCACATTAGCCCCTTCAATTATTCTAAAAGTGGTGGTTTTTCTCCCTAATATATTAAATTGACATTTATACCCTTGAAATAAACATTTTATTTATTTTACTTCTCCAACAAATTATTGTGTATATGTAGGGATGATCATGATTCGGTTCGAACTGAATTGGACACTATAGCAATCGAATTAAAATTTTCCGGTTATGATTCAGATCTGGAACCCAATATTTGGATTTCAATTTATTAAAATTATGAATCAAAAAAAAATTGGATCCTGAACCGTGAACCGACGGTTCCGGACCCGATTCGCGATTTTGAACGGCTTTTATTTTAAAATTTTATTTTTATTTTAAAAATAGTCTAAATTCAACAATAAATGTATTTTATTTTTTCAGTTCGGAACATGAACCGTCCGTTCCGAGATTTTAATAAACTCTAAATATCGAGTTTCGATTTTAAATTGTAATTGGTATATTTCGATTTGAACCAAATTATGGTCATAATTTGTTGGAGAAGAAGAATAAATAAAATATTTATTTTAAGGGTAAATATGTCCATTTAACATTTTAAGGGGAAAAATAGCCACTTGAATAATTGAGGGGGAAAAAGTGCTATAAGTATATAACTCAGGGGGAAAAAGTGTCATTTTCCCTTAAAATTATAATGCAATATAACACGAGTTTTTGACTTTTGTATAAGACTATAAGATATGATGAACAATAACAACTAACAAAGAATCAATAATACAAATAAATAAATTATAAAATTATGTGTACATACATCATGAGAATGTACTGATTAATTTTATCCATTTATCTATGATCAAAGGCTGAAAATTAAGAGAGAAAAAAAAAATTTTACGGTGGCATTTTTGTAATTATGGCAATACATTTAAAAGCGTTTGATAATGCATACAAGGATAACAAATGATGCACAACATGAGTGCCCTAGTAGTACATGTCAATTTTCTATATATGCACTTCTAAATGTACTGTTGTAATTACTAAAATGTCTTCATGCTTTTTCTTAATTTTCACCCCTTGGTCATCCTATATGAAAATGTGATATTAGTACGCGCATTCCAGATGCTCTCTCTCCCCTATATATATATATATATATATATATATATATATATATATATATATATATATATATATATAGGATCAGGTTCCCGTGCGGTCACTCATCATTAGGTACACATAAATGCACTGCACGAAGTGTTCAAAAATGCACTATAATGAAATGTGTGTGTGTGTTATTCTATTCTTCATCATATGACAATTTTTTTTTTTTTTTTTTTGAGTTCTGTAATATTAATATTAAAAAAAAACACAAAAACGCGCACATACCTGATGCCAACTACAACTTTGAAATCATCTTCAAGAGATCGTTCTATATACTTTTGGAAATTGAAAGTGTTATTCGATGACAAATGAGCCTGCCCATTTTATTACAGAATTAAATCAATTACAGACTAAAATATAAAAATAAAAACGAAAAAAATAAAAGAGCAGAAATTTAACGCTCACCATAATAAATCCATGGCGTAAGGTGAGGTAGTCAACTTTAGCTACTGAATAAAAGAATTGTCGAAAGAAACATTTCTGCATTAATTATAACAAACAACATTATACAATGTCTCCTAAGAACAAGTTTATATATATGGTCACAATATGAAACATAATACTACTACATACAATTCGTATGATAATAATATAAAGAATGAATTGATTAACGAACTTAGATGTTACTTACAATCCATAGCAAAAGGCTAGTTGTTGCACAATCGTCTATATGTCTACGCCCAAACGTTGTTTGTGTTGTTAATCTGAACCGGTTAGGATCTACGTAAGATGTCACATGCAAATTTTAAAAATGCAAAAAAAATAAAATTAATTAGTGTGTCATTGTCATGAACCAAACATGTCATTTTAGTACCATTATAGTACTTGAAGGCATGCATACCATTGGCAGCCAAGTATTCAACTGTCTGTGTTTCTGTTTCCCATGATTTCCAACGATTCATCTGTTAATTATGTCATTGTAACAGCAATTAAGAAATACAAAATTGTAAAAAACTGTTGGGCGGAAGCCGGTGAAAGACCAAACAGTCCAACCAGCACCCGGTGATTATAGGGATTGTTGGGCAGAGCCTGAAGGGTCAGGTCTAATACCATCCCTCTAAAAAATGTAACAGTATAAAAAAATAAAGTTGCGTATTCGCTATTAGTTATAACTTATCAATTTATCGTACAAATTAATTAAAGCAGTAGCATATATAGTTACCTTAAGTCTTCCCAAACCCATGGTGATGACACAATACACAATCTGCATTATTGCCAGAACAAACATGAAGTTGTTCAGCTGATTAATACCGCTCTGTGATATCAATGAAGTCCTCCCCTGCCCAAACATTGTAACAAACAATTTAGTTCCCAAAAACATATGTTCGGTGACTTCACTTGAAATCTATAAAATTGTAACGTCAGAAAACAAAAAATATGTTTACTTATACAAATTTTCATTTTGAAAACCCGAAAACGCTTTAGTGTTAGTTGTAGCATATATACTTTAGAGTTGCAGTGATCTGAGGAGTCCAGTCCGCCGGCGAGATGTCTGGAGTGGCTTGGTACGAGGAAAACCGGAGTCGAAGAATTCCCAGGATTGGTCCATAAATAATGTTCCAAGGTTTTGGTGGTTTTAGTTGCCGACCCTGCAGCCCTATTGCAGGGTAACATGGATTTGGCAACGCTGTTTGGTATGCAAATCTTGGAAATTGGCCTCTGTAAGATGGCTAACAGAAGTGACAAGAATCCCAGCAACATCAAAACTGCACCAACATTGTAATAGTGAAAAATAACTAAGAATTATAAGTGGAAATTGATCAATAAGAAGTCAAGATCAGGCCAAAAGTATTATAAAAAAAAATAAAAATAAAAAAATGAGTGGACAACCCAACCAAGTTGGTCAGATTGCTAATTAGTAAATTACAAGATTACAAATTCACTCTCAGCAAGAATTACCTATTGGCTATCTTAGTTTGAGTCAATCCGCAATTTAGATGGTCCCGACTTTTTGTACAAACTCTCTAGTAATGATTGCCCGTCTCTCAAAAGTAAGAACCGAAAAATGAATAAAAATGGGAATCAAGATCGTACCTGACTTAAGCTTCTCCACTGCTTCAAACAAAGCAGTTTTCCTATGTTTTTTAAGCCACTGCATTAAGAAACACACAGAAAAACAAAAGTAGGATTCTTAAAAACACCTACAAAAAAAAAGTTATAAAATATACATATATGTATAGTTTTTGTCTTTGTTGCTTACATGAGAAAGGAGATGTATCAAGTGTTCGATCAAAAGTCCGAGTAATATAAATACGAAACAAACCGTCGCTACAGCCCAAGTCGGCGTCTCAAGCAGAGAGTGCGACGGACTGGCCGCTCCGCCTCCGCCACCGCCACCGCCACCGCCACCTCCTCCGTCGACCGCCATATTTCGCTACACAAGTACGATAATAGTACGATACTTGCTCTCTCTCTCTATTTGGCGGCAAATTAAAACCAGGCCGCCGCAGGAGCTATATATGGATATATAGCAAGATAGAGAGACTTGATCATCATGCAAGCTGCAAAGAGCTATACATCATGATGACGAAACTAAAACGTAGAGGAAGAGAATTCAGAGAGCTGCAAGATTCGCCGGAGTCTTTGGAGGTGTACTCATTTTTATTTTTATTTAAAAAAAAAATGACGGTCCGCCCATAGATGCCGTGAACTAATCAGTGAATGCATTAATTGTGCTTAATTTGACTTGGTTTACTATCTCTTGATTCAAGGATCCAATTTAATTACCTGCACGGGCTTAGCTCAATGGTTTAGTAAACAATATTTGAGAGAAAGATCAAGGTTCAAACTTTAGCGATGACAGTGTGAGAATTATGTCTACTTCTTTTATGACTTGTAAGTATTATTATTTTTAAAAGTTAATTCGTCTTTGACTATGTCTACTCTTTTTATGACTTGTAAGTATTATTATTTTTAAAAGTTAATTCCTCTTTGACTTTCAATTTAATCATAAGTGGTTTATTGACTATTGATTATTTTTTTTAAAATTTGGTCATTTAGTTAAATATCATTTTAATAAACGTTAAATTTAAGTGCAATAATGTAAAAATCATATTGAAATTAAAGTCGAGAATGAAAATTGGTAAAGATCAATAGTCAAAAGATCATTTATGGTCCAATTGATAAAATTTGGTGAATGTTAATAGTCAAAGTACCATTTCTGGAATTAACTCTTGTTTTAAATTTTGAGTTGTCAATGAAATGTCTTTTTAATTTTTTTCATTAATCATTAATGGATTTGTCAAAATTTTCTATTAATCTTTAAAAATCTTAATAGATCAGAGTTCTTAATGAAATTTTATTTCAAATTTCTTTTTTATGCTAATTGCTAAATAACACTCCAACTGCGAAGTTTAGTGATAAAATGTGTATATCAGACCATTGATCTTTATTAAATTATTTTATAATTTATTTTCTTCAATATTTGTTTAAGGAAGGTCAATGATTTAAATTTTTGTGTTTTTGAATGACGAGGGAATATCTTTGTGTTTCTAGCCACAAAATCATACGGTTGAAGTGTGATTTAAGTAGAAGAAAATAAATATGATATAAAGTTCTGTTATTAGCCCTGGTCCACTAAGATTTCTGCCAATCATATTAACAATAAATTTTAACAAAATTGTCAACAAAATGATTTCAAAAAAATACTACTTTACTGACAAATATAATACTCCTTATAACTTAAAAACCAACAGTCCGAATTCTCCCTTGTATATTTAAGAGGCAAAATTTACTCACAAAATATTTATTGCATATCGTAGCTCCTCAATATTTGGTAGTTATATTATTAAATTAACACTTATGACCCGGTTATTTGAAAGTTGAAAAAAAAAATTGATAGATTTTATGTTTTTGTTATAAAAGTCAAAAGGAATATATATAAAAATTCGATAGATTTAATTGAACGGCATAAAGAATAGAAATATATATGTTTAAGAATTCCAATAAGACCTTAAGTAATACTACAAGTATTATGGCTCTGTTTGGCAACGCTAAGCTAGGAGCTTATAGCTTATTTTAAGCTACTAATAAGCTATAAGCTCTGTTTGGTAATGTTCCCAAAATAAGCTCCTAGCTTAAAATAAGAGCTTATTTTGGAACGCTACTTTAGGTAGCGTTTCAAAATAAGCTACTAGCTTCCTAACTTTTTTTTCATCTTTACCCTTATTATTTTAAAGTAATGACATATTTTAACCTTATAAATTAAAACCCTTTCTCTTCCCCTATCCCAACTTTCACGTCAATCCCTTCCTTAGTTTTGTTTCCTGCTAAACAATTATGTTGAAACTTTAGCTTATTATTATTATTATTATTATTATTATTATTATTATTATTATTAATGTTATTTTAAAATTAGCAATATGGCTTCAATCTCAAGTTGAACAAGAGCCGCCAACTAATGCTCAAGAAGCATTCAATCGTGGACATTCTTCTCTTCGAAGTTGTATTGAGAGGTCGTTTGGAGTATTGAATAAGAGATGGAAATACTTGCTAAAACGCCGCAGTTAATTTAGTGAGGAGACCCAAATTGATGTTATTATGGCCACATTTGCACTACATAATTATATTCGGAAGAATTCACAAGATGACATGATGTTTAATGTGCCTGAGCAGCATCCAGATTACATACCGCCCGATGAACTTCAAGATTCAAGTAGTAATATTTCCATCAACGAAAATTTAAGTCACACCTCTATGGAGGTGAAGGATATTCGTAATAATATTGCTACTTCATTATGGGATGCTAGATCATGATCATGCTAATAGTTTTATTTTAAAAAGTGTTTACTTTTTTTGGAAGACGAAATGTTAAATTTTAATATGTAAACAAACTAATTTAAATTTTATGAAGATGTCCTTTTTAGTCTTTTTACATTAATCAGCTTACCAAAAAGCTAATTTTACCAAACACTTTCAATCATAACAGCTAGCTTAACAGCTCTTCAATTTTCAGCTCCGAGCTTATAGCTTTTCAGCTTTCAGCTCCTTTTCAGCTATCAGCTCCTAGCTTATAGCTTTTCAGCTAGGTTTGCCAAACAGAGCCTATATACTCCCAGATAAGTGCATCACCAGTTAATATCCAGACTTGGAGAGTAATGAAAGTCCTTATTACTAGGTCAAATCATGAATTATAAGTAATAAATTACTGGGACAACTGGGATCGAAGTTTCCTAGACTTCAACTAATAATAATCAATAAAATACAAAACGAAAACATATAACGACTCAGTTGTCACGAACGAATATATAGTTTTATAATTATGAACATATGAAGTTCTTAAATTATGAATATATAGTTTTATAATTATAAATATATAATTCAGTAATTATGAACATAGAGTTCTGTAATTGTGAATATAGAATTAAATAATTATGAATATGAAATTTAGAAATTATGAATATATACCTTTATAATTACGAACATATAGTTCATTAATTATGAACACAGAACAAGGTGGACACAGTTCCACAGTATACGATTGATTAAGAGATGATAGTGACGATTATGTTATAATTAAGGAAAACAATTATATTTCTTTTATAACTTAAAAACCCTAAAATGTCACTTTCCCTTAAATAAATCCTATGGTCGCGGATAATTTTGCATTTGAATTAATTTGTTTACTTGCATGATACTTCTAAAGAGAAAGTTGTGGCAGTTGAATAGCCATATATTACGTACCAGGACAAAATCAAATTTTGAATATTAACAATTGATATCCCAATTTATTGTGTCCATGCGTTCATTCGTTGGGATTTATATATAGGCTGGTAAATGGTTGTTAGTTGATAGATGTTAGCTATCAGTTGATTACGTTAATTAGAGAGTATAACTAGTTGATAACATTAGTTGATTATAAAAAAGTGTTTGGTAAATTAGCTGTTAGCTGTTTGGTATAATTTATTTTCTCAAAAAGCTAATTGAAAAATATGTTTTAAACATTTTTTTGAATTTTAATATTTTGGAGTTGATTTTTTAACCAAGTCAAACAATTAATATTGGTCAAATAAGATAAATTTGGCTGATAGGCTAATATGTTACCAAACAGGGCCATAGGCCTGTATGGTAAATGACTATTAGCTGACAGCTGTTAATTGATTGGGTTAATTAGAGGGTACAACTAGTTGATAACATTAGCTGATTGTAGAAATGTGTTTGATAAATTGGATGTTAGTTGATAACTGTTTGCTATAATTTTTTTTAAAAAAAAAAAAAAAAACTAATTAAAAAAGTTGCTTGGAATAGCTTTTCAATTTTACCATTTTGGAGTTACAAAAAGCTAATGAATCAAACACTTACAGGGCGTTTGGTTGGAGGGATTTTAAATTCCCTTCCCACTTAATTCCCACCTAATTCCAAAGGCCATTAAATTCCGTAGTTTGGTTGGAGGGAATTGCAATTCCATGGAATTGTAATTCCCCCATTTTCATGGAATTAAAATCCCATGTCCCCCCTGGTATTTTAATTCCTGGGAAAAAAAGATAGTGATGAGTCAAAATTACCCCTTCCTTTTTTAACCAAAAATTAATGTTTAACAACAATAATGGACATTTTTGACTTTATACTACTTATTCCCTTTCAATTCCCATGTATACCAACATTGGAATTGAAATTCCCAGTAATTCTATTCCTGTCAACCAAACACTGGAATTTAAATTCCACCTTATTCCCAGTAATTCAACTCCCATGGAATTACAATTCTTTTCCCACATAATTCCCCCCGTCCAACCAAACGCCCTGTTATATTGATTTTTTTAATCAAATCAAACAATTAATAGTGATCAAATAAACCAAAATTAGTTGATAAGCTAACTATTTACAAACAGGGCCATGAGCAATTCAAGTTAACTAAAGTTTTAAATTCGACTTCTCATAACATTTTTTTTTTTTTTTAGTTTGAATCGATTAACTATATACAACTTAAATTACTTTATTTTTTTTATGACGTGTCTATTCGAATAATGGTTGTGAATATTTCTACATCTCAAAGGATATGAATACATTATAATGCTTGAAAATTACTCCGAGATTCATAAATCCATTCCGCAATCTAGTACGGGCGACTCAAGACTCACTAGGGAATTTCGTTTTCTTTGGAATCGACCGTCATGACATTAAATATTGGGCGTCGTTTCTCCGCTGGCACCACAAATGACAAAATCAATGTCAAAAACTCGATCTTTCTGTCTTTTTGTTTGAAAAATATTTTTTCCCTCTAATTGAACATACATATTTAGAAGGTATTATTAGTCATAAATTGGGTTCAATTTTCTCTTATAAGATTATAATTTTCTTCATAAATAACTCTTCTATATTTAAATACTACATTTTGATTTAAAAATATTATGTTTTTCTTAATAAGTATAT